TTTTTTTTCTAAATAAAAATTGCCTTAGAGTAAGTCATTCTGAAAAGATTCTGAAACGTCATACACTTTGCAATGTAATGTAGCATCACTGCATCTTAACTTTCTTTTTCTGCTTAAGCCAATAACCTAGTTTACTACCCTTAAAGACTTATCCAGCAAAATACGGACCAATCACCAGGGCTGAATATTTTATCAGTGATTTTTCTTAAATACTGTCAGCCAAATCTGGGTGTAAGTCCCTTCATTTCCACTGAATATTCAACTGGCCCAGCAGTATTAATCTGAAAGAACAGCTGGACTATTTGTCCTCTTTGCTCCATTATTTACCTGGAATCTGGGATTATTTCACATCAACTCACCACTGCTGGCTGTGAAGTGATGTGAAAGAGCAAAGGCAGTACCTAGATGCACCCCCAACAGCATGCAACTACTGACATCTCTGCACAGAGAGCTCGCCGCGGCTCAAAAGTTACCTCTGGTCAATGACAAAGACAAGGCACAATGTGGTGGAAATTAAACTGGCAATTAGCCCACAAAAAATCCACCAGGATATGCATGAGGGCCAGACAATTTGTGGCCTCTCAGAAGCAAATACAAAGAGCACTGTCAGGAACACTCACGCATACAGATTTGGGTTCTGCAGAAGAAACCCCTTTCGTACCCACTGCCACCTCTGAGGAGCTCTGGGGTTTGAGGCAGAAACTGAAGGCAATAACCAGATGTCTCCAATTCCTCTGAGTGACAGAAAGCAAAATGCTGCTGGTTGGTTAGTTAGGGAGATACTGTCGTTGTGGGCAAACCTGGAGCATCTGTCACAAAGAAAACACGCTGCAGTCCTTGCAGTCTTGGTAGCAAGCTGCAGAAGCAGACGCAGCACAGGGAAACAGATAAAAGGTCAGTCACAAATGATTCAATAGCTTAGAAACGAGCTGAGGAGGAGGAGGAGGGCAGTTTGAGTTTCTTGACTCAAAGGGCCGGGATGATGCTGAAGGCTGGGAAGGGTGCCTCCAATGCTTTCTTCTGGTGGGGCGTGAAAAGGTGGGCAGGAGGAACAGTCTCAGCACTCAAGCACCCCTGCACCTTTTCTTTCATCCCACGGACACAGCTTTGTTATGTTGCACAAATCCAAACACAAATTTGCAATTTGTCCAAGAGAAAAACATTTTTAGAAGGTCTAACTATTAAACACTAGATGCTGAGGAAATAAATAGGAGGAAATGCATATGCATCAGAGGAAATAATGACAGGCTGTAGCTGTTGAAAACTAGTAGGAAGGGAAATATAGATAGAACATTAATGCTGTAACAACTTGCTCTGGAAGGGTATCACGAAGGAGGGCAAAGAGGAGGAAGGATGTGTTACCTTATATTAGAAATGCTCATGGGATTACAAACAACTCAGTCACAGACCTTGAATACTTACAGATTGTACCTGCAGTCCAACTAAAGATGGAGTCACTGGAACGTCTCTTACAGGCCCTGAAATCCTAATACTAAAGTTAGCCGATAATTCTGCATCTGTTCTTCATGCGTGCAAAGAAAAACGGGGTAATCATAGATGCACACAGCCTGGAGGATGTTTGCTGAAAACCTCATCTGACTAAAGGAAAAAAATTCCCTGGTGTCTTCAAAAGATGATGATTTCTTAAAACAGAAAATTCTCAAACCCTACATGGAATATCTCAATGTTGAATCTCATTTTAATGAGTGAAGAGAATTAATTAATCACCTAAAAGCTTCAAGCAACTTAAGTATGAATGATCATGAACTAGTAACACTGACTTCGTTTTAAAATCAGTATATACATTATTGCCTGGTGTTTATAGTCTTTTTCCACAATTGCTGGCATGTGGGTCTAGAAAGAGAAGAGTGAGAGGCGTGAAAGAAAAGAGGGAATTGTTGAAAAAGAACCTACTGTACACCAGAAGGCTTTCCCCAAACTGCAAGAGAGAGTTACACTTGTGAAAAAAAAACATCCCAGAGAAGATAAAGTGCAGAAACTTCAGATAGACATGCAGATTTATAAATAATGGAGAGAGCAGAGAAATTAGTGGCAAATAAATGAAGAAGCACAAGCAACCTCTAAAGAAGCAGAGGAGCCAGTGCAACACTGAGGACTGCTAATGGTGTTTCAGACAGTAAAAAGGCACTTCTGAAAGCACCCGTGCAGATCGAGTCCATTGTTCGGTGCAGACAGTAGGATCAAAAATGACGACATGGGAAAACAAGGATATTTAAAGCACAGCATTATGTGGATTAAAAATAGTGCTTTAAAAGATTTCAATACACAGTTGTTAACAGAACAACATACGCAGAGGTCGGTAGTGGCCATTTCCAAATTCCAGGGGTTGTGTCTTCTTCTAATGCAGTTTCATTGGTTTGTCATTTTGGGGTGAGGCAACACGAAATTTCCACGGGAAAAGCCTGCATATAAAAGACCCCACCAATATAGTGCCAAATAATGAGAAGGGAGCCTAGTCAAAGTCACAATAACATCTTTCGCAATGCAACTAAATGCAAGGTAGCAACCCTAGCAAAGCACAGTTTGCAGGCTGAAAGCAGTAGACATGCTTTGAAGACTGTGACTTGAGGACTCAGAGCTGTAACAAATTGCCAAGTTCATTTATGTCTTCTGTGATCATCACAGATAGCTCCTTCAAAACAGATACTCAAAGAAAGATACAGGAAAAAATAACCTTAGCAAGGCTTCTGTCAAAACCCCGTGCTCAGCCCCGCTAGCCACACTTCAAGAAGGAAGTGAAAATACTAGAGGGAGCTCAAAGGAAGGCCAAAGAATTGACCCCTGGGCAGGGCAAAGCATAACAAAGCAAATCTTACATGTGAGGCTGACAGAGTTCACCCAGCCCAGCGATAAGGTTGAGAGCTGTCATGATGACTATTTAGGGCCACATTTCAAACTCACGGATAAGTTAAGAGCTGGCAGTAGGAATTTCAACCTTTGTTTCCCAGCAAAATTTCCCAGCAATGTTAGTAAATGAACTATAGAACAGTTTACCAGGACAGATGGTCAAGTCATTAACGCCTGAAGTTTTCAAAATGAGATTACACATGTTTAAAGAAGACACGCCCAAAACAGCTTTTAGCGGGTAAAAAAAATTTGATGGCTCAATCACGCAAAATGTCAGGTCAGAGGAGTATAATGACTCCTGACTGCTCTTTCAGTCTATGAATTGGAGTACTTAACCATAAAAAATTAGAAGAATCAAATGTCTCCGAGACATGTTGTGGCAAACAGCACTTGTAAGAGCCCCTCCAGTATTCAAAACCATCCAGATACACACAAACCATGCCAACATGTCAGAGCCACTCGCACTCAGCTCTAATTCAATAGCTGTTTACATTTGTTAAATAAACATACAACAGACTAGGTGTCAACCTGGCGCTGAAGGCATGGTTTGAACATTTCAGCAGTCACTCTAAAGAATCCCCTGGTCGATCCTTTCCAACGCAGAGCTCTGACATTAGGCTAAGCAAATGCCAGTGATGTTCCCGTGGAAGTGGGACACAAAATCCACTTGCTTTGTTGCTCTATGAGAAGCCTCCTTCTTATAATGTGATATCCTGTGCTATTGTGTCCATCATTCCTAACCCCATGTGAGCTGGAATATGGTATTCAAAAACTGCACCTCCTTCCACACATGTAAATGGGAAAGCAATTTTGGAATGAGAAAAGGAAAAAACCATCAAAGCAGACATCCCCTAGGTGAGCGGGGAAAAAAAATCACTCATCATTCTCCAACAGTAATCAATCTTAAGTACATGCTTTTTTATTTCCAGAGGAATGAAGGATTCTGGTACTCTATCATCATTTTATTTACTTTAGCTCAGGAAGTGTCTGATCTGCTTTAAAAACTGTGGATCAATTCTGTATTAAAATACCATCACTCTGCCTACTCCTTCAAAGCGCTGTAAAATATGCTGAAGGGAACACTGGCATGTTCCCCAGGTACCATGGCTAAAACAAAATGTGCAACAGAGGAGTCTTTTTAGAAAAAGCAGTTACCACCTTCCCACTCACTCCTCCCCAAGCATGGAGCAGTCCATATGACGTACCTCTTCTTACTTTTCTGGTTTTAGTCAAGAATACGTCAAAAATATGTCACACGCTGCATGATAAAGGTTAAGGAAATTACTGGTGCGGTTGACGAAACAGAAGGTAAGGTGCCCTATCTTGAAGAACATTTTATGTTTTGTTTAGGTTTGTCCTCACATACGAATGCAATACTGATGGGTTGTCACTTAAATTAAGCCCAGAGCCTAGAGTCAGGTCCGCTAGCACACAGGCTTCTCTTCTTCCTCACTGATGCAGGGCTAACAGCTGCACTGGAGCCTATGTTTTTAATCAACAGTTTACTCCTCTATTTTTCTTTAGTTAGGAAATATTCATGCCCACCCCATTTCACCTGCTGGGGTTTTTTTTAAGCACTGTGAAACATGTTATTCATACCGCAGTGTTAAACGGTCAGAGTACCCTCACTTAGAATCTATTCAATAAATTCCACCAAAAGTCAAAACACCATTTGAGAAAAACAAGTAAGCCAATAGAAAGGGAAAAAAAAAAGTACTCAAAGAAAAAAGAATCTCAAATCCAAATCATCTGAATAGTGGTTTGACTCAGGTATTTTAACAAAGCATTTCAACAAAACCCACAAGATTTCTATTCACTGTCCTTTTCATCTGAAGAGCTTGAAACAAAGTTCTCACCACCTCTAGAACTTACGTCCGTGAATTATATAATTGTACACAAGCTAAGGACATAACCCTCAATTTTAGCAAGCTTTCTGGTATGCTTCAAAAATATGTGCAACATGAGACTTTAGAGGAATACCAACGTTTGTTACCAGCAAGCGAAAAACCAAACAAAAAAAACCCAAACCCTGCCACTGTTTGTTGCCAAAACACAGTTTCCCACAACCTGGTTTTACATCAATTCCATGAACACATCACACCAGTTTTTTTCTAAAGTGCAAATATACTTACGAAAGGACATTCCCAATGTAGGCATAATATGAACAGCAGTAGGGAGTAGTCCCATCACAGCAGTAAGCTTTGCAGTCATTATCACACTGAGCCAGACAATCTTCTGCTGAATAAAAATAACATTCATGCGGTCAAATGGCAGCAACAACAAAATGCTGTACAGCACAGCTTTAAAGAAAATGCAATCTAACAGTTTTATACAATCACAGGACTTCACTCGAGGCGCGACCTGACCCTGTAATCCAAATGGCAGCCCATTCCCACTCGTTCTGCATTTCAGTAGGAAGTTCAGAGTTAGGTGCTTTGGTGTATGGGTATTTTGTAGCTGGCCGTATCGGTTACTTCTTATATTTAATCATTTAAAATAAAAAAGACCATTTTGAAATGTCAAGACGCCACGGATCACCTTTTTCCATTCCAGCAAGGAGTCCAGAGGGAACCCTGAGGCCAGGCTGTCTGTCTCGCTGAGCTGCAGGAGAGGAGAAGGAAGCTGCTTGGGAACTGGCTACCTCCTCCCCTCCCTGCCCAGTCCCAGCCCGGGGCGTAAATTAGAGCTGCCTGGGGCTCCCTCGTCCTCCACCAGCTGGCAGCAGCTCCCCTCACTCTGCTCCAACCCCAGGGCCATGGCCAGCGTGGCATGGTGGCACCCAACATGGGGGTGACCAGCATGGGGGTCAGCGGTGCCCTCTCTGCCCCACTGCCAAGGACCGTTCTGCCCAACCGGGGCCACAAACGATGGCCAGGGGCCATCAGCGATGCTCTGCTGGACTGAGGAGCAACTCAAATTGTGAAATGACAGTAAGAGAGCTCTTTACAATTAAGAAATGTGGAAGAACATGTTTTACTGCTGTGAGAAGCTGTTTTAAAGCAATCGTCCTCTCGTCTCTGGGTACTGCTAATGCACTGTAAAAGCATCCTCTTCCCGAATCTCATCCCAGTCTCTCCTTCCCCACTGCCAGGACCTCAGCTGCTGCCTGGATGAACACAAATGAACCCCCTGCCCCACACACCATCACCCTTGGTCACCTCTTTGGTGACCCAAATGCACGCTGCCACAACTGGGGCCTGAAAGCGAAGACAAACTATGCTTCTGCATTTCCGACACGCTGTGGCTGCTGTTCCCCAGGCAGGAGATTTTGCTAGGGGTTTCCCACTCTCCTGTTCCCGTTACTGCCTTTCATCCATGCTGGCACAACTTTCGTTGTGCCGGGACTCGGGCAACCCTACCTCCTCTCAGCTGTGGCCACACTCCCCTCCCCGTCCCACCTCTGCCTGCAAGTTCCCACCTTACGTCGAGGCTCCTCTGCACGCTGACTGCGTGGCCAACAGCTCATGCTGCCGACCCATCCCAAATCTGCAACCTTACGCGTTAGATGTTAGCGGGTCAGCTCTCTGAACCTGCTCACGCTCGGTCTCTGCTTGAAAACAAGCACCAGGTGAGGGGTAAGGGCCAGAGAGGGCCGCCGGACACAGCAGCTCACGCAGCTGTGCCCTAAACCTGTGCAATCACCCTTGTATGAAAGAAACTCCCATGCACCAAAAAGGCGGAACAAGTGACCCACCAGTCTGAAGACCAACAAGCAGATTGGGGCGGCCGGAGGGGACACGGCAATCTCCAGAAGGAGAGGGGAGGCCGGTGACTGGCATGGGCCCTGCTGCCAAGGAGCGGCAAGGGGGGGGAACGACTGCCGTGCCCACCCCGGGGCTTTTTGCACTGTCGCCCTCGCTGGATTCCCCACACCGGCAGCTTCAGGCTTTTTGCCCCGTCACCCATTTTTTGGCACCAGCCCTTGGCACCTGCGGCTCTGGCCCCTGACCCAACCAGTGCCATACCGCCAGAAGCCACCCCAGCGCCTA